TTTTTTTAGTTTATCTAATTTAATGATACCATATTATGGCCACTATTAGGGTCACTTTCGTTGCGCTCCCTAACTTGAATGTTTGAAAATAAGTCAACATTATTAGTTATTACAAGATTCAGAGAAAAATCTCTTCTAGTTGGCCCTTCTACTAATTGAGACATAAAAGTATTGTTTATCAGATTCAAAAACCTTAACTGTGCTACTATTCCCTCCGGCCCAATCAATGTCTGAAACGAGTAACAATTTAACTAGTTGTGGAGCCTTATTAATTTGAGATAGCAATTGTTTTTCCCTTCAGTATCCATGTTTGGGGGTTTGTAACATATTCCTCCTATTAATGGATCCCCTGTTTCCATATACATATTTCTACCCATAAGGCTTCTACATCCTCACCTGTATCATCTCATGACATTTCTTTAACACTTGGCTTTAAATCAGGTTGAAGGGACACTATAGTCACCAAAACAGCTTTAGCTTAATGAAGTAGTATTGATGTATAGCTCATGACCCTGTCGTCTTACTGCTCAATTCTTTGCCATTTGAGTGTCACCTGTGCCGTGTCCGAGGCGTCTTCTTTCAAGACTCAGACTCAAATAGCTGTGGAGGGGGAAGTGCTAAACAGCGCTGGAGAGAATACTTTGGGGTTAGACCATTTGTTAACGGTTTTACCTCTGACGGTAAACCGATGCCAGGGACTTACTGGCTTCATAACATCTTCACTATGACGAAGTTGTAATGGTGTCCAGAGTGTTTATTTAAACCCTGGCACTTTTAGTGTTAAACACATTACACATCAAAATATAAACATTTAATTGCAAATAGAACAACAAACCTAGAACGTTGGCTCAGAGACATTCCCTGGAGTCATTGGGGAAGTTCTTCTCTAATATCTTCTATTATGATCTATCGACACCTTATCACGCCTTAAACAGTTCATGAACCTCAAGAGGACACAATGCGAATCAGATCCATATTAACTCCAGCAGCTCAATTTAATCGAAATATTAGAAGCATGTTCATGCTATTCCGGGTAAACTGATATTGACTGAGAAACATCTTTCTCGTTCTGTGAGGTTGATCAATGTGATAATTTTCAAATATCAAATGTGACAAGGTACTGGATTAGCCGCAATATCCAATCAAATATCGCCCAACTGTGCTATGCTGTTAGAGTCGCCAGAGCAAAACTAACAATTCTCCAAATTGTATTTTCCAAGCTGAAAATAACACGAGGAATGCTCTGTTTCACAATGATATATGAGCGTGTTGCAGGACATTCCTCAGATAGACATAACAGGAGTAACAGATCCGTACAGTAGGTTAGAAAATGTGTTCCTATGCATGGTCTATGAGTACGAATCATGGGTCAAATTTTTGAGGTATCCTCGTCAGACCCAGGTTAACATTTTGTACTTACTGGTAAAGCCTGGAACTGTTAAATGTAGATATACCCAGCCTGAACAGTTGGCACACATTTCGAAATCTGCCTGACCTGTCTCACTCAGTGTCCTGTAGCTCCAGCTGATACAATGTTACTTCAAGCAGGTGCAGTTTCCATAGGTAGTCACCTGTATTTATCTACATAAAGTAACACTGCTTCCCCTGAATGCTGGAAGGGGAGGGGGAGTAGCCATCTGCTCAGGATGACAGGTGGTAGGGGGTGCCGAGTGCACACCCCTGTAGCTAGAGCAAGCACCTACTGGTAAGTACCTGCTCTGCAGCATCAAATCTCACGAGCTGAGATGTCATCATTCACCGCAACCCAGTGAGGGTGTACAATAAATGATGAATCAAATGGTACTTTCCCTGCTCCTTTTTTGGCACTACGCCCAGGGAGAAGACCCGCAAGTCTGGTAAAGGGGGGTTGCTAAAGGGACCAGCCATGCGACCCCTACTTGCTAAGCGTCTCCCGCACCACATGCGGGAAATCCCAGACCGACCCCACGTCCCCTCGTACAGACTGTACCTCTTGCGGCTGCTGAGCGGTGGAGCAAACCAACCAAAGCTTACTATCTAAGGGGGAATCCCTGCCCGCTTACATCCCCTGTTCCCACTGATCAAAGAAAATACCCTAGACCCATCAGGAACCCCCAGCAGCAAAGGACCCCCTGACTGCAATGAAGAAACAGTACTGTACTCATCAGCCGATGCTCGATGGTCCAGCGGCAGAAAAGGAATTGATGAAGATCCACTTTCACTAGCATTCAGCCTTGCAGGAGTTCCAGGTGCCACCTGCTGGGCAGGTGCCAGGAACAGCAGCCAGATCCTGTGAGAAGAGCAGCGGAGAGGAGGTAAGATCACACCCCACAGAGGAGGGCAGCCAAGGTAAGTAACCAGGGGAGAAAGGGGGACCAGCAGGGGACACAGAGGGAACAAGAGGGAGGAGGGCAGAATGGGGGAGAGAGAGGGCTAGAAAGGGGGACAGAGGTAAGGTGGGGACACAGAACTGGAGAAGAAGGAACCAAAGAGGCAGGGGGGACCACAGAGAAAGTTGGGTCCAGAAGAGAAGACAGGGAGGCCACCAAAGGGGGGATGAGAGGGGGAAATGATGGATAGAAGCAGGGGGACCACCCCAACAAATCCTCATCCCTAGAGGACATACCAGAATCCGTGTAGGACCCCTCTCCACCCCCCACCACCGGCACCATCACCGGTCCACCGTTGTGCCGACCGCGTGGCGCCCGGGAAGGCCTCCCAGACACCCCAGGTTGTCTGGGCTGTGCAGGCCGTCCTCATGCGCCCCCGGCCTGCTGTCCATTGTGGAGGCATTCGGGAAACCGCGGGGGGAGCAGGCCGCGTGTGGGGCAGACACACGGGCCTGATGGCACCTCGGGCCCGGGCTCTGATATCGGGGCCGAAGTGCCGCTTCCGGACTCAACCGAGCAGGCGGACGGGAGTGCTGGCCAATGCTTGTACGGCCTACAGGGGCTGAAGGCCACAAGGGAGGCCCAAGCAGAGGCCTGGCCCCGGGGGGGGGGTGGGGGGGGGTGGGAACCACACTGGTGGCCACCAGGCTGGAGGTGAGCAAATTGCTCATGGCAGCTGAAGCTCTGAGGGCAGACAGGATTGCTTCCACATCCATCCTCAAGCAGAAAGTTTCCAAGGCCCAGAACAAACAGGAGCAACAGAGTCAGGGTAAGTTGTTTGCTGGCCCATCTCCCAGGAGGTAAGATGATCCCTACACCACTCCCAAACACATAGCTACTCCCATACACACATACAACCAATCACAAGCATCCTTCCCCACACTCATACATGTGCCCTTGTTCGCTTAGCTGGTCTATCTCCCCAGGGCCTGGATCGATGTACTGGATAATTTTCCCTTATAAGCTATTTATACTAAATACTAAATACTAGCTCTGGGTTTATTTTTGTGTCTTATATGGGCCATTAAAATAATGAATACTTGCTTATTACTTCACTGTCCATTTAATCTATATTTACTTGTGTTCTTGACGGCTATTGCTTGTATTCCATAATGAATTTTATTGATTTATAATGTATTTTACCAGCTAGATTACACAATCATTCCTCTTGGATCCTCGATGTATGTCTCATTCTAAATTCCCGAAGTTAAATTAATTTTAGTCCTTAAAAAATTATTAAAAAGATACATTCTTTATACATTGTCCTTCCAGGCATATTCCTAAGTGGGAAACATCATAATTTTATGATGATAATGCCCCTTTATGTAAAGTTTCCCCAGAATCCTTTGGGTGCTTCAAACCAGTGCAGTGTGCGTTCGATACATAAGAATACATTTAATTAAATTGTTCAAGTTTGTATTTAATTTTTTAGCCCAAAATACTAACCCACCAGTTTGAATCCTTGGAGACAGACATGTGAGTAAACTTGTGCTATAAGAAAATACTTTAAAAAAAAAAAAAAAAGAAAAACACAATTGTTGCATTAAAGCACACAGGCTTGTAAAGACCATAGTAGATAACTGTCTGGGTAAAGCGACGACACATAGAACAAAGAGTTTCTATTACTGCAATTCCAATGAAATTAATACTCTCAATAATTACTAATTGCTTGTGTTGTTGATAAACGTGTGAACCCATGAACTTTATAGAAAAATAATAATGTAGAAAAATATTATAATGTGTTTTTCAAGTAGTTTTTATTGTGATCCTTAACACACATTTTAGGGTCAATAAACAAGTTATTTTTTATAAATCAGTAAAAAGCCGGAATCAATAGAACAAATTAAAGGTTATGAACTCTAAAGATGCTCTTGAAAAATGAGACATCGCCCTTGGTATATAATTAGATAGACAGAACGAACTGAGAAGGCTGATATAATAACACATTAACTTTTTTTAATTTCACTGTATCATGTCGCACTGTCACTAAGGGAACAAACATGGGTTGAAAGCTAGACGCGTTTACTTCGGAATATCAAAAATGAGGATTCTGTCATTTTAAAGGAACGATACACCAGTTTTTAGTTAAATCCAGAGAACCAAGGTTATTCAGTAAAGTAAAAATTTGCTATTAATTTTAACCTTTAGGCATGAATTTCTGAACTGAAAACATAATTTTGTGTCTATGAATGTTAGTGTGTCCATATGAGTGTCTATGTGTGTGTATAAATGAATGTGAGTGTGTGTGGAAATGAATGTGAGTGTGTGTGTAAATGAATGTGAGTGTTTGTGTGTGTGTGTAAATGAATATGAGTGTGTCCATATGAGTGTGTATGTGTGTATAAATGAATGTGAGTGTGTGTGTATGTGAATATGAGTGTGTCTATGAATGTTATTGTGTCCATATGAGTGTATATGTGTGTGTATAAATGAATGTGAGTGTGTGTGTAAATGAATGTGAGTGTTTGTGTGTATGTGTGTGTAAATGAATGTGAGTGTGTCCATATGAGTGTGTATAAATGAATGTGAGTGTGTTTATATGTGAATATGAGTGTGTCTATGAATGTTATTGTGTCCATAAGAGTGTATATGTGTGTGTATAACTGAATGTGAGTGTGTGTGTAAATGAATGTGAGTGTTTGTATGTGTATGTAAATGAATGTCAGTGTGTCCATATGAGTGTGTATGTGTGTATAAATGAATGTGAGTGTGTGTGTATGTGAATATGAGTGTGTCTATGAATGTTATTGTGTCCATATGAGTGTATATGTGTGTGTATAAATGAATGTGAGTGTGTGTGTAAATGAATGTGAGTGTTTGTGTGTATGTGTGTGTAAATGAATGTGAGTGTGTCCATATGAGTGTGTATGTGTGTATAAATTAATGTGAGTGTGTGTGTATGTGAATATGAGTGTGTCTATGAATGTTATTGTGTCCATATGAGTGTATGTGTGTGTGTATAAATGAATGTGAGTGTGTGTGTAAATGAATGTGAGTGTTTGTGTGTATGTGTGTGTAAATGAATGTGAGTGTGTCCATGTGAGTGTGTATGTGTGTATAAATGAATGTGAGTGTGTGTGTATGTGAATATGAGTGTGTCTATGAATGTTAGTGTGCCCATATGAGTGTATATGTGTGTGTATAAATGAATGCGAGTGTAAATGAATGTGAGTGTGTGTGTAAATGAATGTGAGTGTGTGTGTGTGTGAATATGAGTGTGTCTATAAATGTTATTGTGTCCATATGAGTGTATATGTGTGTGTATAAATGAATGCGAGTGTAAATGAATGTGAGTGTGTGTTATTGTTAAGGGCTCAGTGAAGCGTAACATGCATGAAAATAAATTCTACAGTTTTGGGTGCGGTAGGAGCCAACTTACTTTTTGGTGGGTAACTTTGCTTTTCCTGTGTTTCAGATGTATGTAGAGTTTATTGTCACAGGGTAAAAGTGTAAATTAAAATGTGGATTCCCCATATATAACGGCTGTTCTGATGGCGAGATTTAAGGTTACTTTATTAAGTCTTTTGATAGTTGAATCTATAAAAGAGAAGGTAATATATGTATATATATCATCCAGCTCCCTTCTTGGAGAACCGAGACTCAGCATGCCCTGCGGGAAAATGCCTCTTTATGGAAACATTTATCATGTGTCCCAGAAATGTTTGTTTTAAATTATAACATCAACTGGGAACGAAGAAAACATGAGCTCTGAACAAACATGGTGGGGAAACAGGACTAGCATTCCCCCACCTCTAAATATGGACATATTATCAGACAAAAGCTCTCGGAGGGAATGGGCAGATTCTCAGTGTGAATAATCAGATTCTCTGTGTGAATGGGCAGATTCTCAGTGTGAATAATCAGATTCTCTGTGTGAATGGGCAGATTCTCAGTGTGAATAATCAGATTCTCTGTGTTAAACAGCAGACTCTAAAGGTTACTCTGATCACCATGACCACTTGAACCTTTTGAAGTGGTCATGGTGGTAAGAGCCTGGATGTGCAGTGTTCACAATGAAAGTCTCATAATGCAGAATCTATGCCCACAAACTGCGTTTAAATGGGGCTTATTCACTAAACTGTGAACAGTAGCACACTGCACGTTGAGGGTAAAGTGGTGAAGCTGCGACTATAGCATAGTTGGATTCATTTTAACCCCTTAAGGACACATGGTGGGAATATTCCGTCATGATTCCCTTTTATTCCAGAAGTTGTGTCCTTAAGGGGTTAATTCAGTTTTCATTTCACTGTAATCCAGTATATTGACTAAATACCTCCCTGTGACTGTTTGTAGCTGCATAAACTAAGGATGGCAAAGCATCATGTGAGTTGTTGTCCTCTGTAAGCGGGTGGTTTACCCGTTTCCAATTCGTCCAGCTCTGTAAGAATAAATGGGAGGTAGCAGGACTGCGAGCAGTAATTCTTACGCTTTATTTAGCTCTGAAATGTAAACAGACCCACAGAAATGAGAAGCACTCAAACTGAGCTGCTGTTTCCAAAGATAAACCTCGCCCAAAGCAGAAAATATTCTGTCTCGTTCTGCTTCAGACTCCAAAAATATACTACTGTCACTTGCAGAGACTAAACTGAGCTGCTGTTTCCAAAGATAAACCTCGCCCAAAGCAGAAAATATTCTGTCTCGTTCTGCTTCAGACTCCAAAAATATACTACTGTCACTTGCAGAGACTACTGTCATCCAGCAGCGAGTGACATTTTTTTTTTACCCTATTTTCGTGGCAAAGGTTCAGGAAACAAAATTCAAGAAATGTCGAGTGCTTTTTGTTGTTTGAAAGATCCTTTATCAATATTTTTTTTAACCTGTTTGTACTTTTATCATTCCATCGGAGAGTTTAGAAAAAATACACCGAGCTGTCATTCTGGCAAACACACACTGCTTGCCAATGTATCAAGGAGACTTGGGCAATACATAATTTATAGCTAATAGTGTTTGCAATGTGCTTGGATCACTTGTTATAGCAGAGACTGGTGCCAACTGCTACTTCTACTTTCACACAGAACGTATTCTACAATAGGCCAGGGCTATCTGCTTACTTCAGAAATCACAACAAACAAAATCATAATCTTCAAACCCCAGGCCAAGGACATCCCTCCCAAGTCTCCTGTATCTGGCATGACAGTCCTTATGTGGGACCCCTTGTTCCTGAATTTTTTTTTCTTTGTTATAATGTCAACAAAAAAATCACTGTCTGTAAGCCTTGTTGGTCTAAAAGAAGCACCTTTAACCCCTTAAGGACCAAACTTCTGGAATAAAAGGGAATCATGACATGTCACACATGTCATGTGTCCTTAAGGGGTTAAAGGACCACTATAGGCACCCATACCACTTCAGCTTAATGAAGTGGTCTGGGTGCCAGGTCCAGCTAGATCTAACCCTAAGCCTCTAGTTGCTGTCTCATTGACAGCCGCTAGAGGCGCTTCCGCGCTTCTCACTGTGATTTTCACAGTGAGAAGACGCCAGCGTCCATAGGAAAGCTTTGAGAATGCTTTCCGATGGACTGACTGAATGCTTGCGTGGCTCTTGCCGCGCATGCGCATTCAGCCAGGGACATCAGAAGAGGGAGGAGAGTCTCAGCGCTGAGGGAGCATGGCTCTGGAAAAAAGGTAAGGGATCAACCCCTTCATCCCCCTTCAGCGCCACAGGAGTGGGACCCTGAGGGTGGGGGCACCCTCAGGGCACTATAGTGCCAGGAAAACGAGTATGTTTTCCTGGCACTATAGTGGTCCTTTAATTAGTACAACCTGGCATCAGGATATTATTTTTACCCAATATAGGCCTCGATTTAATAGTTTTGGATAAGCTTTTCAAATGATCACAACTGGTTAGAATAAAAGGGAGTCTGGCTTCTGATGGAGGGAAGCATGTTAAAAGTTCTTGGGAATTCACAATGTCTGAAGACTAGAGATCGACATCCCGTTTGGGTGCCATATTTTTTTCTAAGGATGAGTAGCTCAGAGAGTCCTACAGCTCTACAGGGGTCCAAAACCAGGACCGTCATTTTAGATCAAGGACTGGATGAATTGTACCGCCTTAATCCAAACATCTCCCTGACATTCACCCATCAGCTGTAGCAATATCTAACCAGGACTTATACTCATTGTTTAGCTTCGGGGGAAATTAGACAAGATAGAGGAACACAACTGCAGAGTTAATTTGTGGTACTGAACCTTTGAGAAAAATCGAGGAACTGACTTTGGATTCCTTACGAAGTTTTATTTATCGTCTATCTCTCTTATAATGAAAATAAGTTATAGACAATTATAATTGCCTCTAGTAGCAGACCTGCATGCAGCATACAAAATACAAATTGTCTTGATTGAATAGTTGCAGCAGTTGTAGCAACAAACGTTACAAAGTCGTTATTTACTTGTAATAGGAGTTAGCTTGCAGCATTAAGCAAAATATGAATTGAATTGCTTTAAGATTTGCAACAATTATATCAAGAGAGAAAACAAGTATTTACAGTGTAGATAAAGTAGCTGAATATTTTGTTAGTAGCAAGTAGCTGGATTAGGTGGGAAATAGTTGGAATTTATGGTTTTCCAGGTAAACAGTCTATATGGATGACGTTCTTGGTTGGCTCAGAGTGTTAGGAGTCGTCCAGCTGTAATATGAACGACAGTTTGGAATATTTGAGAGAGATAAAGGAATGCCGGTGTCAGTCCTGGTCTTGGATAGGAGATGGCAGCGTGGTCTTGGTCTCAGCAGAGATTCAAGCACTGGAGTGCGACTTTGTATCCCGTTCGGGAGTTTGGGGTTCTGCGGTAGCTGTGCCTGTGTCTCTGGAAGGGGAAGATCTTCTAAACGGCGGTTTAACCCCTTTTATGCCTGGGAGGATTCTAAATAACTGGAATTCAGTTTATGCTTTTTATATTGTGGAACGCTGCAGACGCTTCCTTTATAAAGATACTGCCGTGGACAGACGCAAAGGATAGCGGCGCACTCCTGTAATCCTGTTATTCCATTGAGCAAAACATTGCAGGGCCCGAGGCATCTTCCTAGTAAAGTAATTACAGTATTTGTGACACACTGAACTGAGCACAATAGCCATGCTGCGGCCTTGCTATCTCTTCCTGAATGGTTCAAATAAATATGGGCAAAGATCACGCCATTGTCGTTTGTCACAATAAACCGGGAAAAATGGATCAGTCTCATAAAATATAGCACCATAGCAACATATCACCATAGCAGCATATTACCATAGCAGCATATCACCATAGCAGCATATCACCATAGCAACATATCACCATAGCAGCATATCACCATAGCAGCATATCACCATAGCAACATATCACCATAGCAGCATATCACCATAGCAGCATATCACCATAGCAACATATCACCATAGCAACATATCACCATAGCAGCATATCACCATAGCACCACACTGAAATAGCAGCATATCGCCATAGCAACATAGCACCACATCAACATATCACCATAGCAACACATTGCAATAGCAGCATCTCACCATAGCAACATAGCACCACAGCAGCACATTGCAATAGTAGCATATCGCCATAGCAGCATATCGCCATAGCAACTTAGCACCACAGCAGCATATCGCTATAGTGACATAAAACCATAGTAACTGCCATAGTAACATATCTGCATATTCACAGAGAACCATAGCAGCCAGTGGCTGGTGAAATTGGTGGGGAAATAGACTCCACTAACAGAATTAACCTGTTGACTTGTTGTGCTCATTCCAATCACAGACACAACGAGACATCACGCCTTGTTCAACACCATGAACTGACAGATACATGTATCTGGGAGATAACAACCACGTTAAAGAGGTCAGACTCCTCCCCCTGATGCTATTACCCAATGATAGCACTGGAACAGAG